TTAATGGAAAGAAAAATCGATAATTTATTAAAAAATAAACATTTTATGACAGCAAAATTAATTAAAAAAACTCAAATTTTTTCAAAATAGTTGGATTTTGTTTTTGACATGACAAAAGATTTGAAATATTCTTTATTTATTTTTTTATTGTCTAATGATTTTATTTGACATTAAAACATCTTAAATGACGTCCCATTTTTTCATTTTCAAGCCACCAATCACATATATACTTAAGAAAGCAAGATATATGAAAATCTAACATAACATATGTATGATTAATATATTATTTTTACACAGTGAAAAGGTACATAGACCACAGTCTCATAATTAAAAGCAAAAAATCTGATAATCCAACCAAATAGATCAGGGAAATTAGAAGTTCCAACTAACATAACCAAAGAACAAGCTAAAGATTTTCAACTTGAAGGGGAAACTGCGCACTTATGTTCCAAAAAATTCAATCAACTTGCGCCCCACTACAGCCAAGGCTCCTTTTTTTCTGTTAAAAGGTATCCCCTTAGCATGTGTCGAAAACAAAATTTCAAAAAGGAGGTGAAACCGCAACCTTCCAACAAATGTAACTGGAACGATAGCTATCATAGTTATGGAAATGATTACCCACCGTCGATGTTGTAGTATAATCAAAACAGCAGCAAAAAAGCTAGCCATCATTGCCATAATAGAAATAAGAATAGTGTAGACGAGCAAGCCCAACAATTCGGGTAAGTACTCGAGAAAATCTTCCTGGGCGAAGCGCGATGCTAGTATTCCCAAAAATATTAAGACAGAAGTTGATGCGGTAAAGAAGGAAATCGCATTCAATGTTATAAACATCGCAAGTGGTCTTCCCGGTGAAAAATTGGGAAATCCATTTTGAGCATTGCCGCCTGGAAGAGTAATGGCTGCAGCAAACGCGATCGTAATAATGAGAGTACCAACAACAATAAAAGAACTTGCTGTGTCCCTAATCCATTTTTCCCCCTCTTTCACTAATTTCTCATGGCTATTTGAAAATACTTCAGAAGGGGTTTCACCATTATTATTTTTAGATTCTTTGCACCATTCTGGAACAATTCTTTCCACCTCCTGCATTCGATTAACAAAAGTACGCATTAATTTTTAGAACAACAATTTAAGTTTTATTTTTGAAACAATAATTAAGTTAAATTTGCTTTGTATATGAACTTTTGAGAGAATCAAAACCCATTCATGTATAAAAATAAATTAAAATAATTAATAATAATAATTTTAAAATACTATAATTAAGTGAACAAATAAGATGAAAACCTTAAACCATTGTAGTTCTCTTTGCATCTGCAATACAGGGCTGGAGACTCGGGCAAGTCGAGAGGGAGGAGCCATCTCCCCTGCCACATGTAATATATTATTCCCGTTTCTATCTGTCTGATTAAGAAAATGGGCTCTCCATTCCTCATTAATGCTATACAGGAGGTTGAAAATGTTTTCTTGACGATATTGGATTGCTATCATGAAAACGTGTCTGCGATCATCATTATGGAAAATGAGTGGTTGGGTTACTTTCAATAGCTCAACGACGAATTCAACAATGCCCTGCTTGGTAGCTTCAAACATCGCGTCAGCCACTCCACAATTCCAAAGAGATTGAACTTTTAACGTTGAAATATGGTTACACATACGTTGAAGAATCTCAAAGGAATAGTGATGTGTCAACTTCAGATCATAAATTTGTTTAATTCCTAAATAAATCAAGAATCAATTAATGTATACTTGAAAAGCATAAGAATAGAATAATAAAAATATAAATACTAAAATACGTAAAAAATAAATTTCATACTTGGGGGCGGGTTACCACAGCAATTTTGGAGCATTAAGCTCAATGTATAAAGTCGATCAAATACTCCATGAAGAAATTTCTGTTAGAGCATGTACAAAAAAAAACAATACAAAAATTCATTTTAGTGCTATATTATCACAATTAATATTATTTTATATAAATTCACATAATTTTAAATATTTAACTCTTAAATAAAATATCTAACA